CTACGAATACGGAAACAGTCTTTCTGCAACTACGTATACCGGGAAGATTCAGTTAAACAATACCACGCGAATTTAAACTTCGCCCCATCGCACAAGGTAGTGGCTATCAGGACTCAGTAGCCAAGTGGATAAGGTGATGACGTTTGAAGCGAATGGCACTGGGTTCGAGTCCCGGAATGAACATCAACTCTGAGATGAAGGTACATACAGGTGACGAGTTCGAAACAAGACCAAACGCGCATCCTGGATTCCTATGCTAGCCACTATCCATGTTTGTCTATAATGCTTGTGAATTAAGGCAATATCGAGGCAATCCACACGGCATGCACATAGGCCAATAAGAGACTGATCACTCTCAGTCTTAAACACCAATAGGAAGATTCAAATAAACAATACCGAGTCAATAATTGTAGTGTTTCTTAACGTTAGGGCTGCCTTCGATTCGATGCACAGGACTGTTGTGTGGGATTGTCTATTGAAGAAGGGTGTGTCTAAGAAGTTTATTAACATCTTAGAAGCCCTATATACATACACCTCACGCAGAGTGAGGACATACAATCACCTCTCTCCACTGTTCCATTCAAGCAGTGAGGTTGGCAAGGGTTTCCCAGTCTCACCATTCCTCATAAGTTTTGCCATCTGTATTTATTATGTATTTGAACACATAAACATTGGTAAAAAGGAGCACCGAGACATGCGCTACACAATAACAATGAGGTCCATGAAATATTCCTACTTAGATTTTTACTATTATTTCAGATACTATATTATCTCTGTTGATTTGTTCCCATATGGATGCCGAACATCTGTCAATAGTTATATGAAATATCAGTACCTGCTCTTGTCATGACAACCACTCTGTCTCTTATGACGAAGTATTACACTAACCAGAAATGAGTTATTCTAAGGATTGCAATTGAAATACAGAGCAAATGTTTCATAGAATTCCAATAACTACTTACACTTACCAGTAGTACATGAAATATAAACTTCATAGTCAACAGTTATAGATTTTAAGTGAATTCTTCTTATCAAAATAAGCAACTGATTAAACAGCATATAATATTCAAGTCATTCTTCAAAATCTTCCCGTTAAACTGACAAATATATCGATTTTAAATCAGTATCATATTTATTATTTCTAATTTAAGTGAGCTAATCTATTTCTAGAAAAAACCTGGTAACTTGTGCTTTACTGAGTTTCAGTTTTATGTTGTTTATTTTCAGCCAAATATGTAGAAGTCATCACAATAAACCAACCATCAATTATTTCGGCGGTAATTCTACTTATTGATGGTTATATAGGGCTCTTGTTTTGATAAATCAAAGTAATTACACAATTCTAACAAAAACGTGGTTACTATGGTTCAAATGTTATTGAAAATATACTGGGTAGAGTTTTTCGCATCTTCGTGTTCGTATATCGTGCTCAGGCGCTTAAGATGTTGATCTTTCTGGGATTGTCACGCTAAAGATATGCGATGGTATTTTAAGGTTTCAGCTGGATTAGCAGTATTTCTCTTATGTGATTAATTGTAATATCTGATCAACTGGTTCTTCCATACAATACTCTTCTTGCATATATATATATATATATATATATATATATATATATATATATGAGTCAACCGTAAAGTCATAGTGATCCGGCAGTCACGAGCCGATACTGGTGTACTAACTTGGAATTCTAGGGGATTTTCTTGAATTTCAAAGTATTTCTGAAAGAGTGATTAATATTTTATTCGATTTACTATGGATTACAGTGGTATTAGTTTATTGGGGGCTGCGTCATTAAGGATGGCACGATTTAAATAAAAGAGAATTCGTAGTATTTATTCCGTTCTCTTACCCGTATGTTTAAAAAGCATTTACCTAAAGGTTCATTCCATTATGGATGATCTGGTGACCCATCGTATGACGGTGGCAGGATTCTCTGAAATGCCTCGATCCGTTATCTCAAACTATGGTGCTGGACAAGTGATTTGATGCACGATTCTTCGTAGATGGCGTAAGGGTTATTGATTATTCGGCTTCTGTCAAGTGCTCACTTACCATTCAGAGCAGCGTATCCGTCTGTCAAAATCATTCTGTTTGATGGTATCGTATTTCGAAATCATATCGTAGTCACATTAGAGCACATCTCTGTATCAGGTTCGTAGTGTGTGCCAGTACCCAAGACTTAGGGTGAAAAACCAAGCTAGGGGCTGTGATATGTTTACAGCGTAAAATTTCGGCCATGCACAAGCTTGCGAGAACGACGGACGGGAGATAACAAAGCGAACGCTTCATTTTCTATTTGGCTATATTTTCCCTTTTTTGAGTTAGTCCTTGGGACCTATGAATGATGCCTGGATTTACATTAGAGTTTGGAGCGTGTCTCGTTGTTCATACAAACGCAATGAATAATATAAATAATTAACACACATACAATCGTATAAAAAACGTCAGACCTAATAAGCGGATAAGTGACAAGATAAAATGGTGACTTGAAGAGAATGAATAGATCGGTTTGTTCAGAGGTTAGAATAACCTATATGGGCTTGGTATAGTACCAGCCTATAAAATTTAATTGTCAATCCACCGCCATGGTCCAGAAGCGAATTTAGATTAAGGTGCTTATGATATCACTAGTGAGCACTAAGTGCCTAAAATGAAACCACATACAGATTCCACAGGAAAAGTTTAACTGCTGGTTTACTTAAATTGGACGCCGTCATCGATTCACAGATCCACGAAACTCTTAGTCTCATAGTTTAACAGAAAAGTTGGTCTGAATTATCCAGACTTCTATCACATCTGTGAATCCAAGTAATATCAAAGAGGTAGAAAAACGCACCAACGATTTCGTTTTCCAATATCGTGATAAAAAAGATTCAAGAACTTCAGCTAAACTCTTTAAACATCGCAAACATAAAACTCACTTAGTGAATGGAACATCGTCATAGGTAACGTTCAACCGAATAACTGACTAGTGACCAACAACAGGAACTGTAATTTAGAGAATGGTTAGTGGGACAGTAAAGATTCTTGACTTAAACGACCTTTCGTTCGATCATTTCAAATTCGTCAGTTACTTACTTGCGCCTGTTGCCCCTCCTGGAGCATGGGTCGCTGACAGAGGTTCGCCAACCATTTCTGTCCCGCATTTTCCTTTGCAGTTGTTTCCAAGTGCTATTCATTCCTTCGATGTCTGGCTGCGATTCTCGGCACAATGTGTCCACCGGACCACCTCTTATCCATTAGCCTTCAGAATTTCAAGTTTCTGCAGTGTATATTCTACCCAACTTCAGCGTCTTTTTCTCATTTCCTCTTCATCTGGAATTTGGTTTGTTCTCCGCCACAGTAGGTTGCTGTTGATGACATTCAGTCAACAGATATTGAGTAACTACGCTTGTAGCCCGTTTAGGCTTACTACCGACCTGAAGCCCGGATAAAGAAGAAGAGTTGGGGATAGGGTTCGCAACATCACCCCATAGAAAATAACCACTATAGACAAGCTAACCAGAGAAATCACTTTCAAATTCACAGGTAGATCTCAGTAGCTTCTCTGATAGGATCTGAGCTAGACTACATAGTGATATCATTTTACTATGCTGATTAGTAGGTATTCATTAAGTATTTCATCAGTCAAAAGAGGTATGTTCAAAAGGAACCTTAATTATATTGAACTTCACATGAATAATTTATTGCATATTATTTAACACAAACATCTGAAAATATCTTTGGATCATGAGGACAATCAACATATTTCTAGCAAGAACTAATTCACAAAAAATGAAGATACTTCGAAATACAATATGAGATGAATTGAAAGGAGCGAATAACTGGAGCGCTTCTCAGAAGGTTAAATACCTTCCACGATACCTCAAAATCATGTTATAATCTTTTTGATAAGACTTCACGTGTTGCAACTTTTGACCTGTAAGAACCTATTTTGTTTGTTTGTGCTGGTTTCAATATTTGGTGCTGATTAACTTGATTTCCGTCTCTCACATAACGGTTATGAACATGATAGCTGTACAATCACAAGATGAAAGCGGAGTTGATACTTTCTCATTATAGAAAAACTTCTACCCCTCCATGTTGATCGCAAGCATAAAATACCATTATTCACTGAGGCTCTATGATAATCTGGAAATGGCAAAAGAGCGCTACAACCCACGAAGAAATGATCTAATGGTTGAGCCAACAAAAGTTTATGTCAGACCCATTCAAAGAAACAACTTCTGTTAATCTCATAATAAATAGGTTATAAGTATGGAGTTTGAATCCCTTGTGGGGTGATATTTTAGTGATCGTAGCGTTCGACTTCCAGCTACTCAACCGCAGGTTCAAAGTCCTCTTTAAATACTTTGTTTAAACGATTGAGGATTATGGTTGGACATCGCGCTTACATGGTGGCTCACACCCGAGCACCTGGGGAATGAGTTGAGAAGTGGCAGTTAAGAACAGACGACAGTATAGATCTATGTTAAAATGACAATTTACTGAATTCAAACTTTTAATGGTCTTTACTGCAATGTTATTGTGTGATAGAGAAATAATCTTCAACTTTAATTTACTATTATGAACAAAAGTCAAAATTTAATTGGTCAATATAATACTCAAAATCAATTGGTTCAGTGTCTCAATTAAAATGTTAATTAGATAATAAGCACCCGATTCATCAACGTTTATTTTTGTTATTGTTACCGTTGTTACCATTGTGTTTTATAAACACAAGGATTGTATAATCAAATGTTTATCAAGAAGAAATCATCGTTCAGAATCTACTATGCAATTCTAAAAGCATTCGGATTAACACTTTGTATAATTTTCATATTACAAATATATTTCATTCGTACAACTGTCAAATATGTTACCCTACGAAATCACTCTGAAGAAGCAATTATATTACGCAATATGGCACACATTAACTGCAAACACACATGTCGTACTATTTGCAAGAATATTGACAGTATTCCATCGAGTAAGGTGAGTGCATTGAAACCAATTGGGAAATGCCATTCAATGGTGAATTCAATGAAGAGGTGAACCCAATCAACGACACATTTTATTCACATGATCTTGGTGGCGGTTGGATGTTTAAGGAGGAGACGACGAATTGCAACAATGTTCCACAATCCGGTGTAGCAATCATCATTGTTTGTAGAGATAGATGGAAGCAACTGAATAATACATTGTCCGCTCTGATTCCAGTTCTCCAGAGACAACATTTGTGTTATCGAATATTTGTTATTGAACAACAGGGTACTGGTATTTTGAACAAAGCTCAGTTGATGAACATTGGTTTTATTGAAGCACGTAAACGTTTCGATTTCGACTGTGTTATATTTCATGATGCCGACTTAATACCATTGGATGATAGAATACCACATGGTTGTGATGAAGAGATGATGGAGAGTGTGGTTCATTGAGTGTTGGAGTGAGTACATGGAATTATGTTTTACCTTACCAATCATTGATCGGTGGTGTTTTGAAAATATCGACTTCACACTTTATACAGGTTAATGGTTATTCGAATAGTTATTGGGGTTGGGGTGGAGAGGACGATGATTTGGAGAGGCGACTGAAAGCATCAGAAATTATGTATAAACACATTGAAAAGTCAATAGGCAGATATCTGGCTCAACCTCACAGTAAACAGGTTCGAGCGAATAGGCGTTTAGTACTTGATTCATTAAAAAATGCTGCCAGTCGTATGTTCACTGATGGATTGAATTCTGTAAAATATAAAGTTTCAGCCTATTCTGAGAAGCAACACTACACACATTTTTTAATTACATTAAAATAAGTTTTTTTTAAAGATTCAATCGCCTGTTTTTCTTACCCTTAAATATTGTATAACCTAGTTCTTTACACTGTGAGACAAAACTATTTTCATATTGAATGATACTTTCATTTAAGTATAGAAGTAATCAAGAAAGAAAACACTGATGTAGTCTCAAGTTCAACATTGTTATATACACAGTCAAATCTGTATAATGTTCACAAATGCACAGAAAATTACATCCATATGTAGATAACTTAGTATCCTTGATGGATCGAATAAAAGAATTTCTATTCGCTATTCATCATAGCGATTTGTACATCATTTACTTCTGTTGTCTATGTGTTTAGTTTTCGGTATGTACTTTCAAACAATATTTCAATTAATTACTTAACCATCTTTTGAAACATTTAATTATATATCTATACCCTAGTTACTTAACAATTGTCCAATAAGAATATATGTAATGATAACTCATATATAATTCTCAGTAGTCACCATTCATTTATTCTTCATTTGCATGCAACATATGTTCAGCATGATATGCAACATGTGATGTCGTATGATTCTGAATAGTTTCCATACATGTGACTTTTCTTTAATTACTGATCAGATGGGTGTACAAATGATTATATAAATGAGTGTATATTCGACTAGAATTATCGTTGTGATTTTGGGGTGAATAAATCTTTACTTGTATCAGTGTTGTGTGTTGTTATTTGGTGTCGTAGAAATTGCATTGGTTCCTTATTTTCGCCGTACAAGTAATAGGCGATGTAGAAATAACGTATATCAATCTACACTTGATAAACAAGTTACATCAAGTCGTTTACTTGCATATGACAGTGCATTAGTATTTGCAGTGTAGGCATACTCAAGTAAATAAATTAATAACTTGTAGTCATTATCATTGCTTCTCTATGAATCCGATTGACAAGCTAAGGATAAATTAAGTATAAGACTTTTTCATCAATAAATTATGATCTTTTACTGTTCCACACTACTAATACAATGATACGGGTATTAATACAATACTCTCATACTACTACAAATTTAATTGATCCAGTTACATGCAATGAATATTATTCTATTGCATCCTGAATAATAATAATAATAATAATAATAATAATAATAATAATAATAATAGCAATGATTATTATTATGGTCGTTATTATGAGGATTCTATATTGTTACTATTGTTTATTTGTTTCTAGTTATATCAGGTCATATGATTGACCTTAGAAATAACTTGAAAGAATCTTTATAATAAGAATTGCCAATTAGGATATTACTGGGTTTGTAGAAGCTATCACCGTCCGACAATTTAGTACATCTGAACAATTTCTTATGACCCATGAGTCTATCCTGTTTATCCTCAAACCAGTTCAGTTTTGATCTCTAACTATGGGAATTGAAACTAGTAATTCTTTTCTTACTGTTGCCATCTCCAGTATTTCATACCACTTTATGTTGTTTTTCATTGAATACGAGTATGTGTGTATTATTTAAAATACGTTACACGACAATAATGTTATTCAGATCAGGTATGTTCTTTTAATGTACACCGTTAATTAAAAAAAATAATACCATTTTGAGAAAATATTCAAATCATAATTATGAGATGGTGGAGAAGATTTGTAGCTCAGATGGAAGATTTTGATGGAGTATTGTTCTCTGAGCTGGATGGTTTTGTCGTGGAGTTTGTGCTGATGATGCCGTTCAGAATAACGCTGAAGGCTCCATGACCAAACCATCCAGCTCAGGGAACAAAACTCCATTTAAATCATAATTAATTAGTTTGGATAATAATTACTTTTTATTTCTCATTGTAATGAGAACAGACAGTAATAAGTGAAATATTACATGATAAATAGAATTTTAATGGTAGTTGTTGAGATCTTTACGAGAACTTATCCATCAGTCTTTCAGGGACCAGTAAGAGAATAAGAACATTTTTCCAATTAACATACGTCACAAAAGCTTAGAATATTGACGGGTTATGTGTCGAACTCTGTTAGGATGTTTACTTGCTCAATTACCAAATTTAGTATACCTCCAGAAGTTTCTGGAGGTCGACAGTTATCAATAATTTCATACAATTAGTTCCCTTCATGAATTTAAATAATCCCAGAACGAACATGGTTGCAGAATAATATGAATTCGTTATATTTCGTGGTTTCTCATCAGCCGATTACAACCAAATATGTATTAAAATTTCACATTGATGTAAGATATAGTGTGAAACAATTGACATAAGTGAATGTGAAGAATTGGAATAACAAAACTTATCAATAATAACTATATATATGTGTGTGCAAGAACAGGTCGGAGGTCACTCAGTGTTAGAATCAAGAAATGTGAGGGGTGGATGATGTAATAACTGAGTGAAGTTCAGAGACAGATAAGATGAGCTGTGTGATGATTTTAGAGGTAATGAAGGGTTTGCACAAGATTCCTAGAATTGAAAAGCTGGTAAGATGGGTTGCGTAATAAATAAACAAGATTTGATGAGTTCGCATAATTTAGGAGAATTGAGTGAGTGGCAATGTATGAGTGAAGGGTGGTGGTTTAAATGTACAGAAAATAAGAATTCGATAATGAAAGCGAAATACAACAAACTAAACATTAACAAAATGAAACTAACGACCAAAAATTGAATTACCAGGGTAGCACAAGGTTTATTACTGCATATTTTTGAATACATAGATCAGTTTTGAGTTTTTGTCGCAATCGCTTCAGCGAACCGAGGAGAAGCGGTATTTCTTTATCTGATAATAATTTTAAAAACTTGAGGAATGTCAATGGTATGCCCCAGTGCTATTGCACTGAAATATCTACACTCCCACACAGTATTGAGTTAACACAACATCACTTAATAAATGGACCAAGAAATATTCACTATTCTGTTATGGATAACCTTACATACTCTCAGTCAGTCAGTCAGCTACAACGTAGGACCAGGCACATATGTGCATCGGTCCAGGTTGCCATACCGCATCAGCACAACAAGATGGACACTGGATTCATAAAAATAGTTAATTCAGAGGTGGTAATATATAAAAGAAAGATTGCAATAAGGATATAATACAGGAAGAAAGAATTGGTTCGTAGAAAGAAAGATATGAAGTGTTTTTAATCTCTTAGTTTAAGGGAAGACAGAGAGTGTATACACCGACGCCATTGTGATCGATTCTGAGCCATGTCACCAAGAGTCTCCAACCATTGGTTACGAAGCTCACGCGGACCCCAACCAAGTAGTCTGCATCTTTTGGTTTTACATACTCTACGAGTATTCTGATAAAATTTATTCCAGTCGGCGGTTTTATATGAAAGAAAGTTATGAGATAATGACTTACACATATGTGTGAAGTTGTTTACTGTTTTCCAAAATATTTGGATCAGTTTTATTCTTCTGTTTTTGCTCCAAATAAATCTGAATTTGTTTACTATTGTTTCAATGTATAAATCAATATTATGCTTATTTATTCGTTTGAATATTGTGTTTCACGATTACATCGAACACGTTTTACTCAAAGGACACTCGACATAACGAGATATCAATGATAGACCAATAAAGCGGACGCTAATGATAGACTGGGAGAAGAATTCATACAAATTCTACAGTTAGTAACGTATTGAAGCGTATTATGAGTTATTGTGTGAGTGGAACAATAGGGCCTTCATATATCTTTTAAGTGTTTTTAGGTATGTTTGCAATTTTTCTTGAAAATATTAGTGAATAAATGTGCAAAATATTTGAAATATATTTTCTGTAAACAAGCGGGTAAAAAACATAATTGATAAGTTGTGGTGCGTGCTACTTATATTCATATAAGTAGTATATAACGTGAGTTAAAAGAACTTAATGTCTGGCAGCAGAAGATGGAGAAGATCAAGAAAGGAAGAGCAAGAACACAATGGAATTCGTAAGAAATCGCATGAACAATGAAATGTGAGACAATGGATTGATGTTTGCAACAGCAACAGTCCGGTTTGATATGATGGAATGATATTTTGCAAATTAACGATTTACTATATGGTTTTTCTATTTTACCAAGTAATTCTGTAATTTCTGCTAAATACAGTTTGTTTGTCCTCATCCGTGTTCTCTCTCACAACAAGTCTAATATTGTAGTGAAGTAGACAAAAAGCAGGGAACAACATGTGGGATAGTCAGGTTTATTTAGCACCATGAAGATCTGGACTGAAATCAAATACCTTTACCATTCTCCACACTTTCACTATCTGTTCAACCTTTGATCGCATCCTTCACATTGATCAATCATTCACAAACCACTCAATTGTTAAGGAGAATGATTTCATGATCTGTAACACAGGTTATGTATGGATTATCAGAATGAATGAATAGAATAGAAATGTGTAGTTTGGATGCAAAATCTACTGGTGGTCGTCACAAACTCGAGTTTATGTATTCAGTCGTGGTATGTGATGAATCGACGTTCTGACAGGTTCATATTATTACTATTGTTCTAAGGCGAAGTTCCTTTAGCAGACAAGGTTTTGAGTATCCCACTCGAGGCACTTCTTTAGGTATTCGCGTTTCATTTTCCTACCTGGCATTGTTTTATTATCTCTAAATCTAACATAGAGGACACGCTCAATTCATCTGCCATAATTTGTGGATGG